GGAGGTCAATTCTGGATCCACACGTCTTTCCACAGTGGGGACATAAGTTTCCGGGCTTAGGGGACTCAGTCCCTTGCAGAGTTGGGCAGAAAAAGCCAACCACCTCTAGTTACTATATCAATAGTTACTTATCTCCTTGGCTTGGGGTCACATAACTCCATACCCTTCGGCATTTCTATGATGAAAATAGGGACATTCTATCATATGCATCAACATTTATTCGATGAAAATAGAGACTTTCTAAAGAAAAGTGGGACATTTCAGAGTAAAATCAGAAACCGGGATGGCTTATGTTAATCTTGGACTGTCCCTGGAAAATATGGACACTTAGAGGGCCAGCTACATGTTGCATCCAGCTAATAATTGTAGACTAGTAGCTTTTGTGAATTACTGTAAGCATCATTTAATTCACTGGTCCTTCAACTCGACTACTGGGTCATAGCCTGATCTAAGGTGGTGTGGGTAATGTCAGCAGCACTCCCCACCCCCGCTCCAATTATGGTATACTATAGTAATCAGAATAAGAAGTGGGTCCTCAAAGGCATGTTTGGTGGGTCCTGGGTCTGAAAAAGTTGAAGACTACTACTTTAACCAGACTGGAATGGGAGCACTGAAGACCTTGTCCTGCAATTTATGACACCAACAGTGTTTTTATAGTTCGGCATCTTATTAACGATCTAAGCACTGTACAAATGTTTGTAAAATAAACAGCACTATCCTGCGGGCTTAAAGAGCTCCTTTGGCATTTCTAGCTGGTGTGAGTAGGAAGGAAGCAAAGAGGTGTGAGCAACAGCGACCAGCCTATAAAGAGCCAGCTAATTACTTTTCAGCAGGCAATGACATCACCAGTGCCTGATAAGTGTTGGTCCATTTCTAAACATTTACCTCTCCTTTATAAACAACTACCACACTGGGCTTATTTGACTTCTGGCCTATTGCAGTGTGGTATCAGGGACCAAAGCTGCAGGGGCTGAAAGATGCCCCTGAGATGCCTTTTCCCAGGACAACCTCTCCCACACCCTCCCAGTGTTTGTATCAGGGCAGGTCCATTTGGTTACCAACAGGGAAGGTTGGTGTCCATTGGGACTGGTAGGATGGAAGGCTAGCAGGAGACCGAGGCAAAATGAATATCAGATACAGAGCCAATAATAGGCAGAGCCAACCTTTTCTTCTTTTGTCCCCATCCTCCTTCCAGCCAACATGTAGACTGTGGAGGAGGAAGTTGACAAGCAATTCCACTCTTCTGACTGGTTTAAAATAGGAAGGCAGGCAGGTTGGGGCTAGCTGAGGGCAGACAGAGCTTGGTGGGGCCCATTTGGTCCAGAACTGCAGATATTTGACCATACAATACCTGTGCTTTGTCAGCCTCGCTGGCTCCCATTTAATCTCCGAGCCCAATTTAAGACGTTTTTAATATTTAAAGCTCATGAGTATTGGGACCAGGTTACCTGAATATCTGCCTTCCCTCATATGTACCTACCTAAACATTATGATCTCCTTTAGAGGTCCTGTTCTGAGTGACCCCATCAAATGAAGTAAGCGGGGAACCACTAGTGTAATCTTTTGGGTCTCCGTATATTGCTGGACTAAAGCTCCCGTTATCCCAGAAAGCATGGCTCGATGGGCAGAAATGTTGGGAACTGTGGTCCAACAACATCTGCGGACCCAAGGTTGGGAAAGGCTGCACCAGGGAGTAGCATGCTGGTTATGGTACAGCCTTCCCAGAAAGCTTTGTCTGGCACCCCATTATTCCTCACCATTGGCTATGCTGGCAGGTACTGATGGGAGTTGAGAGTCGAACACAACTGGAACACAGACACTGGTCCAGCTAGCTCAATGTTGTCTACAGCAGGTATGGGGAACCTTTGTCCTTCCAGGTGTTGCTGAACTACAATTCCCATCATTCCCTAACTAATGACCATGCTTGCTGAAACTGATGGTTGCTGTAGTTCAGTAACATCTGGCCAAAGGCTCGCTACACGTAGTCTACTTGTAGCTTGCAGCACCTCTCCAGGTGTCAGACAGGGGCATTCCCAGTTCAACCTGGAGATGTCAACATTAAACCTGAGATCTTCTGCATGCAAAGTAGATGCTCTACCACGGAGCTATATACCCCATCCCCATATAGAGAGCAGCTTGTTCCCCATCTCTGCTCTAATCCACAAAAGCTGATGCACCAGTAAAATGTTTCACAAGATCCATGCGGACCCCATCAATTATGTGGTTCCTTCCCATGATGGTGTTTCTGCTTCCACAGATAGCCGGACAGGTCTGAGAAGAACCACATTAATAATACACTCCTCAGAGATGACCTAGGCAAGTTTTATGCCTGATCAGATAAATTTAAATGGGATTCCCCATCTCCATGAAGAAAGTATCACAATCCCCTCTATTTTTAATGTTCAGGTGGTGAGTGTCATTGCATATGTAACCAAAATAGTACTTCCCATGTGTGATAGGGAGGCATCAGCAGGATCAGGGTAACTCCAAGATTTACAAAGTACAAAACATTTTATTTTATCTTTGTGAAAAAAGCCCCTAAAGGGGAAAACCATTGAAGACTCTGAGCATGATCAGATGCCACAGAATGCTAATTGACAGCTGGAGGCAGTGGGGTGGAAAATAAGGAAGGAGGGGGAATGGAATGGAGTATCCTGAGCAGGAGCAGTTCATAATGCAACATTCTCTTGCAGATTCTGTTGCAGGTTTGGATGGATTTGCTGGGATAGTTCAGTCAGTAGAACGTGAGATCTTTTAATCTGAGGGTTGTGGGTTTGAGCCCCATTTTGGGTAAAGGTTCCTGCATTGCAGGGGGTTAAACTAGATGATCCTTGTGGTCCTTTTCAACTCTATAATCCTATGATTTTATGATATACTAATGCCAATTCAAGTCCTTTCATGCTTACAGAGTTGGAGCCAAAACAACACAATCCTTGTACAAAAGAGAGAGACCACTGGAGTTAGGCTAACCAGGAGTTTTGCAGATAGTTAAAAAAATGTGCAAGGGGAAACATTTCCCCATGCTGCATTGAGGAAGATGCTCAGTGCTAGAGCATGCGTCATGCATACAGTCTCAGGTTTAACCCCTGGCATCACCAGGTACGGTTTGTAGTGTACCCTGTCCAAAACTCTAGAGCTTGATGAACCAATTAATTCAACTCAGCATAAGGCATAAGTCCTATGTTCTTATTCCTTCCTCCCGCCCTGCCCTATAAAATGCCAGCCCCCTAATAGCTAACTAGCTGTGTAAGTGGAGAAAAGAACAGACAACTAGGTAGACTGAAGTGGCTATTTTTAAATGTCCCCAAGGATAGAAGAGATGGCTGCTCAAGCATATCAATGGAGAAACTATGACATTTAATGTAGCTGGGTTTGGGCATCATTGTGTCATAGCAGCTCCTCCATCCCCTGGTAATATAGTTTAGGAACCAGGCCTTTTAAAGTAAACTGACAATATTAGAAGTGACACATCAATGAGCACTAGGTTTCAACCTTTCAGCCAATCTTTGATGGGTGAACTTTTCCCACTGATCAGCTCAGAGATCAGCTCCAACTTAAGTCAGTGAGCACTGCTCTGTTCAGTACTAAGCATCCTGGTTAATCCAGTCAGGAAGAGAGGAGACCAGACCATTTACAGCCACCATTCATAGACAAGGCTGTGACAGTCAAGCCCTGGGCCTGCCTCCTGGTGACTCAGAAACCAGTGACAGCTGGTGAAACCAACAGCCAGTCAGGAGAAAGAGAGGGGAAGTTTTAAGTGTAGGCTTACTGTTTTAACTGTCAGATAGGTACTCAAGAATGTAGACCGGGATTATATGTGACAGAGCTTTCCAAACTTTTCATGGTGGTGGCACACTTTTTAGACATGTATCGTTTTGCAAGACAGTAGTTCAGTTTTAATAGCAAGGTAAAGGTAAAGGGACCCCTGGCCGTTAGGTCCAGTAGCGGACGACTCTGGGGTTGCGGAGCTCATCTCGCTTTATTGGCCGAGAGAGCCAGCGTACAGCTTCCGGGTCATGTGGCCAGTATGACTAAGCTGCTTCTGGCGAACCAGAGCAGTGCACAAAAATGCTGTTTACCTTCCCGCTGGAGTGGTACCTATTTATCTACTTGCGCTTTGACATGTTTTCGAACTGCTAGGTTGGCAGGAGCAGGGACCGAGCAATGGCAGCTCACCCTGTCATGGGGATTCGAACAGCTGACCTTCTGATTGGCAAGCCCTAGGCTCTGTGGTTTAACCCACAGCACCACCCGTTTCCCTTTTTAATAGCAAACCAGAGGTTAAACTAACTCCTTTCCGAGCATTTGCACGACACACCTACACACTGCAGCCAACACACTAAGTTGTTGTGACACACAGTTTGGAATGCTCTGGTCTGCATATTAGAGAGGGACATTGGAGATATGGAGAAACTGTCAGTATGGGCAGTTGGGATTTGGGCTATCTGAGTGGGTTAGCCAGGCAGGACAACCCAGTTTTGATTCCCTGAAGATATCTTCAATTCCAGAAGGGAATGGGTGGGTGTTGCTGATTAGGAACATTAATAGCCATTCTAGGTAGGAAAAGTCTATCCAAATCTTAAGATGGAAAGAGTGCTGTTTTAAATTCTCTGTAAAGAGTTTGTGTCTTGAACCAAGTTTAGGGTCTCCCTTAGCATCATCATCATGCTTTACACTTTCATAGAGTGTGTAACTAAATAAACATTCAGTTTTGTTACCAAAGTGTCTCTTCATCCTTTGAACCTATGCATGGGAAATGAGTGCATTTTGTGCAGCCTTCGCAGAAGTACACCACCTTGCTTGGCAGTGTAATCATAAATACTACCAGAAACAGCTAAGTCTATACTTCTCTCCTGAGTTAATAACAGGGCTGTTGTTTTTCCTGTTAACATACCAATAAAACCAGTCACGTTACCCAGCACCCATCTTCAATGAAGGTGTTTATCATAAGGGCTTGTTCAGATCACAAACCAGCAGAAACAAAGCTACAACCAAACCAGTTGAATGCCATACAAATTTTATTATTAACTTAACATTTAACTTAGATTGAGACAAGCGGGTCTTGTTTCAGTTCATTGAGGGACAAAACCATCTGCCCTTCTCACTCACAGTCACACACATACCCATTAAATGGTCAGGAATTGCAACCTCAATAGTTCAGCAGGGACAAGGGTTTTTGCTGCTCCCATCTGCATTAAGCGTCATTCTAGGTGCCTTCCCCTGCTGCCTCTCCATATCCCGATAAAGTAGAGACTTCTGGGCCTTCAGCCGGCAAGCCAGACACATGAAAATAGATTCCACATTCTGACTTTCTTTGGGGTCCTTGGCTGAGGTTTCAAACAAAAGCATATTATGTGCATCAGCAAACTTCAGGGCCATGCTGGATGGCACCTGGATCTGGTCCCGCAAGTCACACTTGTTTCCCACAAGCACTTTAGGGACAAGGGCAGGGACTGCATGGCCATTGCACTCCTCAATCCAGGTCTTAAGATTGATGAAGGAAGCCATCTTGGTGACATCATAGACGAAGACAACAGCATGCACATTGCGGTAGTAGTGCTCCACCATGCTCTTCCGGAACCTTTCCTGGCCTGCTGTGTCCCAGACCTGCACCTGTGGAACAGAGCAGAATTTCTGAAGAGTCTACAAACCAGGTAGAGAGTACATTCATGCAGGATCAGCTCCAGCATTAAGGGTCGACATGGAGGAAGATCCAAAGATCAAGGTATGAGCACCTGCTTTGCCTGTAGACAATCCCTGGTTCAATTACAGGTGGAGCTTGGAATGTCTCCTGCCTAAATCCTCAAGAGTTGCTCCCAGACTTTGTTGAAAATATTGAACTGGAAGGACCAATGGTCTGACTGGGTATAGGGCAGCTATCTGTGCTCATATGAAGGCCCTCAGCAAAGTGCTTTTGGCAGCCTCTGGGCTCACCCATCTGAGGCAGCAGGCAGCTACAAGTTGCCACTGAAACAAATTCCCACAATGCCCGTGCTGCACTGTCGTCTTTTTATTTTGTATAATGGCATGGAGCCAAGCAATGCCAGAGGCACTGTGGGAAAACTAACAAGGAAGCTCACAGACCCAGCCACTATGTGTATGTGTGTGCGCACACGCACATGTACTCACCCAAGACAGGAACCAGGGCAAATGAGCTCTGAAGGAAATGCTAGAATCTTTTAACAGCTGACAGAAAATGTCCAGCCTCCATTTATGTCCAGCTTTTCCTTCAGGAAGCCCAGAGTGTCCCACATGGTTTTTCCTCCCTCTTTTATTTTATATAACCCCCTGGTATGGCTGAGATTTCTCCCAATTCATCTTCTGAGCTTTGTGGCTGATTCACAATTTGAAGCTGGACCCTAGTCTGACACACTTAGGCCACCACATTATCTAAGGTCATATCCACACCATTTAAAGCACATGGTTTTCCCCTAATGAATGCTGGGACTGTAGTTTGCCTGCAGTGCTGGAAATTGTAGCTCTGTAGGGGTAAACTACTGTTCTCAGAATTTTTTGGGAGAAGCTCTAACTTTTAAAGTGGTGAAAGTGTGTATTGGTTGTGATCTAGTTTAAAATATATGCAGATTTATAAACTGCTTCACAAGAAAAATATGCTGAAGGGGTATATTCAATAAAAATCAAATATAGAAGCCTAAAAGATTATGAATTCAATAAAATCAAAGTCAATTAAAGTTTTTTCTACAATTATAGAGTTATTATTCCCTAATATGACCCATTTCATAGGTAGGGTCAGCCTTCTCCCCAGCTGAGACAAGGAGAGATTAACAAGAAGACATGGGCCTACTTCCTAGCCCACACCTTTCTTAGTTGAGTAAACATGAATTGACCTCCCTTCACCTAATCTTTTCCCACAACCAGCAATCTCTTCCACATGTTAGCCTTTGTAATCTGGTCCTGAAGCAAAACAAGGCCAAATGGCCAATATTTGTCCTCAGAAGGTTTTCTGAGGACCTGGAGGCAGAGGAGCTTCAAGGAAACTGGGTCTGCATTCATGAGGCAATAGGAATACACTGCACTGCTTAAGATGGGGTGCCTGTACTTTTTTTCAAAGAGGGCCAGATTTGATGAAGTCAACATGCATGAGGGCCGACCAAATTAAATTGACCGCCGGGCTGGATTAGGCCCCCAAAACGGACTTTGGACATGCCTGGCTTAAGACCATGTGGGCTGGTTCCACTCTTGAATGCTTCCTTGCTTTTTGTTGTTTTTTAATTAAAAAAACCCCACACACTGCATCTTCTTTGTAACCTGGGGCAGGCAGGCTCTTCCAGGAGAAAGGTTTGCATGCAGATCTTGGTCTGCTGTGATGGCTTTATATTTGAAGTGACTTTTTCCACAGCCTGGTGCAGTTCGCCCACAGCACTAAGCCAAAACCACAGCTAAGCATGAATGCACTAGTGTGTGGATTCTCACAGTGTAGCCTTATGAGGCTTTGCCTTCGGGTGGGAAAAATATTCCCCTTCAACAGTAAAAAAGAATAGTGGCTGCTTCACTTCCTCCCAGGGTCATCCTGCTCCCATGCTAATACCTGGAACTAAGGCATGCTCTGGCTTAGCATTATGGTTTGCCTCCTGCAGATAAGGCATGAGCAATAATCCAAAAGCAAACCTTGGCTACAGTTCATGGTTTGTTTGGAGTGAGACAAACCCCGAGCCTCAGAGTTCAGACTTAACATTACGCCAAACCATCTCTTAGCTATGGGGAATGAGAGCAACAGTCATTTTGACTGCCTGTACCCACACACTCACATTATATGGGGTTATTTTTAGAGAACATGTTCATATGGTTGGGAGAGGATGCAAGATTGCCATACAGAGGGTAACATGTGCGTTTACAACCCTGTGTGGTAGGAAAAAGCTGCTGTGGGGGGAGAGGTTTGCAGTTAAGAAATTGCAGTGAGGAAAGGGTCAAGCAAAATGTTTCCTGCCAGCTCTCCATTATCAACCTCCCTTTTTTTAAAGCATTAAAAAGAAAGAAAGACGTTTTTAAACATTACATCTATTTGCGCACTCCAGGTCAGAACCCACAACTGCATGGCATCCTGACCACTGGGGTATCTGCAGTTTTCTTTAAAAAGGAGAAACAAAGAGAATGAGCTATCAGATGCAAGGGAAGGCAGAGCTCTTTTACCTTTGACAGTTGAGCAGGACAGGGAATAATGTTGACTGCAGCAGCTTGTTAACCTTAGGAAAAGTAAAGGTAAAGGGACCCCTGACCTTTAGGTCCAGTCGCATACCACTCTGGGGTTGCGGCGCTCATCTTGCTTTACTGACCGAGGGAGCCGGCGTACAGCTTCTGGGTCGTGTGGCCAGCATGACTAAGCCGCTTCTGGCGAACCAGAGCAGCGCATGGAAACGCTGTTTACCTTCCCGCCAGATCGGGATACTTGCACTTTGTGCTTTCGAACTGCTAGGTTGGCAGAAGCAGGGACTGAACAACGGGACCTCACCCTGTCACGAGGATTCGAACCACCAACCTTCTGATTGGCAAGCCCTAGGCTCCTATATATCTACTTGCACTTTGTGCTTTCGAACTGCTAGGTTGGCAGGAGCAGGGACTGAACAACAGGAGCTCACCCCGTCGCGGGGATTCGAACCGCCGACCTTCTGATCGGCAAGCCCTAGGCTCTGTGGTTTAACCCACAGTGCCACCCATGTCCCTAACCTTAGGTAAAGATAACTGCAACTACACTAAGCTCCCTCTCCTGAACAGAATTCCCTGCTGTTCTGAACTGCGCTTGGGAACTGTGGAGAGAAAAAGGAGAAAGGTGGACATGAGAGTGGTGGACAGGTCAGATGCTGTGGCTGAATGCTTATGAAATTGCTCTGTAGAGTTTGCAGTGTGGGGTTGAATCCCAAGAGCACCTGCTCTTTCGGAAGGGGCTGTAGCTCAGTTATGGAGTATATGTTTTCCATGCAAAAGGTCCAAGTCCAAGCCCTGGCATCTTCAGGTAGGGTTGGGAAAGATCCATGTCAAAACCCTATTGGTTGTCCATGTAGACCAACCTTTCCCAGCCTGGTGCCCTCCAGATTTTTGGACTATAACTCTCATCAGTCCTAGCCAGCATGATCAGTGGTAAGGGATGATGTAATCCAAACCACCTAGAGAGCACCAAGTTGAGAAAGGTTAGTATATTAAGTTTAAACCCCACCACTTTGCCAAATTCCCCTATTTTCTGCAGGGCTTCTTGTACACTTTTCTTTGGATCTTCTAATGTTAAAACTAGATCGTCAGCAAACACTTTTATTTTAAACTCTTTTACTCCCACCTTAACCCCTCTAATTTCTGATGTTTCTCTCAATTTCTTATTTAGAACTTCCAAAACCGTAATAAACAGCAAAGGTGACAGGGGGCACCCCTGTCTGGTCCCCTTAGAAATTTCAAAAGTGTCCGACAAATTATTATTTATAATAAGTTTGGCTTTTTGTTCTAGATATATGGCTTCAATACCTTTCAGAAAAGACCAATAATGTTAGTTAAAAACATGAACAAAGAAGAGACAGAGGAATTGCAACAGGAGACAGGAATCATAGTGGCTAAGAAAGTGAAATACCTCTAATACTGCAACAACAGCAGCAAGAATACTCATGGCTAAGCATTGGAAGACACAGGATTTGCCCACCTTGGAAGAATGGCAGACGCAACTGATAGACTACATGGAACTGGCTGAAATGACCGGCAGAATTCGAGACCTGGGAGAAGAGACGATGGAAGAGGACTGGAAAAGATTTAAGGACTATTTACAAAAACACTACAAATTGTATGAATGTTAGGAGAATGCACAAATGAAAGAAACATGGCAGCAGTAAAATTATTGTAAGACATATGAGAATATGTGATGTTTAAGGTAATGTTGAAATTTGAAGTAATATTATGCTCATTATAAGCAGTTTAATTTAAGACCAATATACTTTAAAGCTGAAATTGAATATTGGTGATTTATAAAATAAGAAATGGAAGTAAGGCAACAAATCGCTGCACATAACTATTTGGTTGGGAACGCAGGGAAGGGTGATGTGAGGAAGTCCAAAGTTTGATGGAAAGTGGATTTATGAATATATGCACTCTATTTCTATTTTCTTTCTATATTTCTATCTTTTTTTTTATAATCTTATTCTGATTCTTTTTTTGTTTCTTATGTGTTATTTTGTTATTTGGCTGTTTAAAAAATTTCAATAAATATTTTATAAAAAAAAATAATAATGTTAGTTAAAAACATGAACAAAGAAGAGACAGAGGAATTGCAACAGGAGACAGGAATCATAGTGGCTAAGAAAGTGAAATACCTCTAATATGGTTGACAACAATAAATATAAATTTGTATAAAGATAATTACGAAACTACATGGAGAGAGATTAAGAAAGATCTAGAAATTTGGGATAGGCTGAAACTCTCTTTCCTGGGCAGAATATCGGCGATTAAGATGAATGTTTTACCTAGAATGTTATTTTTGTTCCAAACAATTCCAGTGATTAAGGGGACAGGACAATGTAGATAGTGGCAAAAAATACTGTCAAGATTTGTCTGGCAGGGAAAGAAGCTGAGGATTAAAATGAAAATTTTGATAGATAAAAAAGAAAGAGGTAGATTTGCCTCTCTATTATGAAGCGTCCTGTCTTGTATGGCTAAAAGAATGGATAACACTGGAAAACACAGACCTTTTGGATTTAGAAGGGCATGATAACAGGTACGGGTGGCACTCGTACCTGTGTTATGATAAAGTAAAGGTCCATAAAGGTTTTTTAAATCATGTGATAAGAAGGTCAATCTATGAGGTGTGGGAAAGAAATAAAAAATTATTGGAAAGGAAAACCCCATGGTGGATATCACCAATAGAAGTGTTGACCATCAAGAAAGTTAACATGGAGGGAAAGAAGAAATTACTAGAAAAATTACTAGAAAAATGGAACAAGGGATAAAACTTAAGCCATATGATCAAAGAGAAGGTATGCTTACAGGTTGGTTGCAATACCATCAGGTTAATGATATACTGAAAAATGAAAAAAGGAAGCTGGGTTTGAAGACAAAAAAAATCAAGATTTCAAATAGACTTAATAGAAGGCAGAGGTAAAACATTATCCAAACTGTAGGATTTGTTATTAGAATGGTTTACAAAAGATGAGAAAATGAAAGAAGCAATGATAAAATGGGCTATAGATTTTGGGCATAATATTGAATTGGATGCATGGTATGAGTTGTGGAAGGTAAATATGAAATTTACGGCATGTACAGCTTTAAAAGAAAACCTAATGAAAATGATCTATAGGTGGCATTTAACAGCGGTAAAGCTGGCAAAAATGTACAGGATGAAGGATAAAAAATGTTAGAAGTGCAAAGAGGTGGATGGAGATTTCTGTCATATGTGGTGGACTTGTGATAAAGTTAAGAACTTTTGGAAGCTAATTTATAATGAACTTAAAAGTACACTTTACCCCAAAAACCAGAAGCCTTTTTGTTGGGTTTGATGGGGAAAGAAATTAATAAAGTAGACCAAAGATTCTTTATGTACGCCACAGCTGCAGCAAGAAATATGCTTGCCCCAAACTGGAAAGTGCAAGAAGTCTCTACCATTGTGGAGTGGCAGACGAAAATGATGAGTTATGCAGAGTTAGCCAAACTGACGGGAAGAATTTGGGACCAGGACGGCCAGAGGTTTCAAGAAAGTTGGAGTAAATTTATGGTGTATATAAAAGACAATTGTAAAACTTTAAAAACACTGGCAGGATTGAAATAGCTCTTACAATGTATGGCAGATATAAGATTAAATAAATAGAATATGCAATGTAAGAAAATAAGGGATACTCGCTGAAGTATCCCTTCAGAGGATGGGAAGTTGTGAGCTTGGCAGAGCTAAAGTAATTATGTGATTTACTGTATTGTATTGTTAAAGTATGAATAAGGAAAATAATAAAAAATTTACTGGAAAAAAATAGAAAAAAAATAGAAAGGTTAGTATAGGCAATCTCCTATATGAGTTTTTGCTCTTTAAAGGTCTATGACTCATAGAAGCATATAACTGTAGAGTTGGAAGGGACCCTAAACATACCAAACTCCTACAACCATTCCTCATAAGGCTTGGTTTCCAAACCCTTGATCCTCTTGGTTGCCCTCTGCATACATTCCAGCTTGTCAATATCCTTCTTAAACTGAGTATGGCATTAGTATGCAATGTATACTTTGCCCTGGAATTTGCCCTGTAACTGAGCAATCTGAACACTTCTGCAGATGCCGATTTTATGATATCTAAATATTCTGGATTTTATATCTTTCTTCTCCCATCCCCACTGTCAATATGTGTGCTCTCGATTGGCCTAACATTGCAAGGATGTAGCAGAGATGACTGAACCAGCACACATATAATTCCTTAAGTCCTTAATTCCTGGTGTGCAAAAGTGATCCAAAACTAAAACATCCAGAGTTAATAACAGCTTCAGAATGCCACAGTATAGGCAGTCCTTGTGCAATCACACAGAGACCTCAACAGAAGTCTGCATAACAGAAGCACCAGGGGCTGAGTACAGTTTCTGGGCTGTGATGTGACTGTGAGAAATCTTGGCCCTGCTCATACCTCCCCCTTCTACCAGTGTATCCCCCCCCCACACCTTGTCCATTCTACTGGGAAGGAGGTGTTTGCTTAGTTAAACATGTGAAGTAGCCATAAAGAACAGAGCATCTGAGCACAGTACAGTTATGGAGGCTGGTTCATTCATGCATGCCAATTGATTATGGACATGGTAGTGAACTGCCTGTAGGAACAGGCCATCACAGATTCCAGCACTGAAGCCAGAACTTTCATATCAGGCATAACAGGGGAGGAGGGTGTCAGTTCACAGATGCAAGTCATCAAGTAGTTGAGTAATGAAGTGATGTAAATGCAGTGAACGCTATGCCCTGGCCCTCTTTCTCTTGCCACTATAGGGCATCACAACCAGCTTTAGCAATTCGGAGTTGCCAAGTTGGGGGTGAGGGACGGGAAATGCTTCCACCACACTTGACTTCCAGACACTGTGGAGCCCTAAAACACTTGTAATTTTAGAAATTAGCCACTGTGAAATTAATACCCCAACCTTCAGAAGAACCTAGAGCCAGAATGATGTAAGTACTTAGGGAGAATATACATGCAACACAGTCAGCCATTGGTCTGTCTGTACTGAATAGCAGAGCCTATCCAGGGTTGCAGGCAGGGTTCTTTCTTCCAGCTTTATCAAGGATTGAACCTGGGACCTTCTGCATGCAAAGCGGGAGCTCTACCACAGATTTAAGGCCCTTCAAATCCTTACTTAGCCATTAAGTTTACTGGGCCAGTCCCCGTTTTGCTGTCTCTCCCTCCCTCATCATTTCCCACCCAATAGGGTTTTTGTGAGCATATTAAGATGGTGGTGAGGACAACAGCATCAGGATTCGGATTAGACAAAATATATACATCTTACACACCGAGCCTTAAGAAGCTTGCAGTTCAGGGTGGCTTGCCTACTGTTGCTCCTCCTCTACCCAAGCCTGTCTTATACTGGTTTCCCGTTACTCTCCCTAGATAGGGTTCTATAGCCTGCTTCTCTGGGAGTCCATCGATTTTTTGCTCCCCAGCTCTCCTCACCTCCATGGGGCGCCCTACATCCTTTCAGACATGGCAGCAATAGAAGACGAGCGGAGCTTTCAGAAGAAGCATCCTCAATTATGGTTGCTTTAAAAAAACACCCCGATAACAACAGACGAAGCCACCTGGAAGGAGGACCCGGCTCCCAGAAAAGGCTGTGTGCACCAGGCCCGGTTCCCCCGCTCTCTCCCTCTTCCCTCCCTGCTTTTCTTCCTGCTGTACCTTGATATGCTCTCCCTCAATCTCCACCGCCTTCTCCCTGAAGTCCACGCCGATGGTGGCTTCGGTGTTTGCCGGGAAGGCTCCCCCGCAGAAGCGCACAGTCAGGCAGGTCTTGCCCACGTTGGAGTCGCCAATGACGATGATCTTGAAGATGCGCGTCTGAACGGACTGCTCCATCGAGGCTTCCAGCTCCATTCTGGAAGGACACGCCGTCGGCGCTGGCTAGCAGGCTAGGCGAGGATAAGGCTCGGCTTTTCCGTAGCGCGAGAGCGGGAGGAAGGCGCCGCGCAAAGGGAACAAATAAGAAAACCCAACGAAGGCAGGACTCGACGGAAAAGCTCAGGGTTGGCTCAGTACGGCCGGCATGGCGACCGGGGTGAAACACAGCTCCCTGCCTACAAGACTCCAAGCTGTCGGTCCAGCCATCCGCATTTAAGCAATGAGTCGCAGCTGCGGGAGCACCCTCGAGTCACCGGCCAGGAGCCGCCCATCGCTCCGCGCTTTCATTGGCTGCCGACACCCAGCCGGCTTCCAGGCACAGCCCCAAAGGCGGAGCCTTAGCAGCAGCCCACCGGCGCCTTGTGTTGCGCTTAGCCAACTAGAAGGCAGGACGAGGGAAACCAATAAGCCTGGGTGGCCCCCGCTTGCTTGCCGGCTCTCTCGGCTCCTAACTGTTCATCCCCTGCTGCGCATGGAAATGTGCTCATTTCCTTAGCGCTTGCTAACATCTGAGACGGGGGTGCTTGGTGACCCACGTTCTGCTGCTCAAAGGAATGTAAAAACAATTATAATGGAAGACACGTACGGAGGCCTCTCATGTTTACAGTGATGGAACGAACACATGCTGCCTAAACAACGCGCTCCAATGTCGGGGAGGGCTGTATTGCTGAGAATGTCGGGATAGGACTGGGAAGATCCAGGCTAAAATCCTCACTCATGAAGCTAACTTGACCTTGGGCAAGTCCAGCAGAAAATGATGCTTCTTGGACTTCAGCTCCCATCATCCCCGACTTTGGGTCCATGCTTGCTGGGGCTGATGGGAATCTGCATCCCAACAACATCTGGAGGGCTCCACATTGACTAGCCCTGGCCAGTGGCCTACCTAGGGTCCCTTGTGCCCTTGGCAAGGAGCTGCATATGCCCACCCCCCCAAATAGAACCTTGATCCAACACAGAAGATTCAATGGCATATGCTCTCAGGTTAGGCTGTAATCTTAACCCCATTTACCTGAACTAAATTCCACTGATGGGACGCGGGTGGCTTATTGGGAACGCGGGTGGCACGAGGCCTAAGACTTGGCTGGATCAGAAGGTCGGCAGTTTGAATCCCGCAGAAGGGGTGAGCCTCCGATTACTCGCGTCCCTGCTCCTGGCAAAGCCCTAGAGGCAGTTCGAAAGCACCTCAAAGTGCAAGGAGATAAATAGGTACCACTCTGGCGCGGAAGAGTAATCGGCGGTTTCGTGCCACTGCTTCTGGTTCGCCAGAAAGTCATGCTGGCCACATGGACCCGGGAAAAAACTGTCTACAGACAAATGCCGGCTCCCTTGGCCAATAAAGCGAGATGAGTGCCGCAACCCCAGAGTCAGCCACGACTGGACCTAATGGCCAGGGGTCCCTTTACCTTTAAATTCCACTGAAATTTACTTCTGAGATTTGGTTAGGATTTTACTGTTAGCATGGATAAGATTGTGCTGCAGAGTTGTCATCTTTAAACATGCTTACCCATCAGTGAATCCAATGTGAATTCTGTTGGGTTTGGTATATAATTTTAGGTTTGCTGTTTTAATCTGGTCTAGAAGTAGCGATTAACTAAATGGAATATAACTGGTTGGCATCTGTCTGTCTTGGGCAACAATGGAGGAGTGCACCTTTGGGTGTGAAGTCAAAAGGTTGCAGTGCTATGGCTGTAGAGACTGATGAAGGAAAGACATGTTTTGTTGCAGCTGGGGCAGATGAATATAATTAATTGTGCAGTATTCATAAGATAATCAGAAACAATAATAAGACCATGGGCAAGTGGTTCTCAGTTCTAACTGAATAAGGTCAACCTCAAAGATAGATGAAAATCCCTAGGTTTTCCCTGCTACTACAGGAGGAGACAGCCGCCTTCCACAAATGATGCTTGATGGTAAACAGGGTTCTTGTTCTCCTGGCGTGTTAAAGGGTGCATGAAGTTTTTCAGCTGTGACTCTGTTGTCATCCTTGGAGAATTCCAGAGAAGACCAGGTGAAACCAGAAGCTCTCATGCTTGTGGCAGAACTGCTGAAGAGGTTGGCGCCTGCTTCAGCAAAGCAGCATCTTACAATGCTGGTGAGGATGACAGTTAGGATGAAGCTGCTGCTGCTGCTACTACTATACAAAGCTTAGGCTCAGTTGCTTCTTGCTGAAGCAATCTTAGAATTCTGCCAAGCCTTAGATCAGTGCTCATATTATACGTGGTGCCCACAATACATTGCTCTGGATTGCAAATGTGCCTTTGGGTCCCAAAAAGTGTTGACCACCACCTGGGCTACAGAAATGATATTGGCACTATTATGGCTGTTATTTGTTTATCATTTCTATCAGCCTTCCCTTTTGTTTACAAAGTGCTTTATGCAATTTTTATATCTTTCATATCTTCTTCAGTCTGCAGGCTGATGCCCTGTTCTTGGGGATTCAGCAACTGTACCCATTTAGTAAATAGCTTGCACTGCAACTCCATGCTCAGAACTAGGGGCCCCCTCCAGTCATCCTTTTTGCTTCATTTTCCTGTGCACTTCCCTGCCCTTTCCTTGAGCACAATGGAAAGGAGGCAGACAACCAGGTAGTTTCACACCACAAGTTTGAGATCCCCCAAAGTTGTGCACTCAGTCCTTTCTTTGTTCCCCCACCCCACTCCCTAAAGGGGCCACACGCTGCCCAGATCTATGATCCTTGCCCATCACCTTACAACATGGTTGTGAGCAGTTAGAAGAGCAGGGACTCTCCCAACCCAGACTGCTTGGTAACCCAGGAGTGCCAAGCAACTGTGTGATTTTTGTGGAGTGTGCGTGCTGACTCCTGGGTGGGGGTGGGGCCAACTTGGCCAGCGCCCCCAGGTACACCTCTGCCTAGGCCAGTCAATCTCTCTCTTAAGTAGGATTGTTGCGAGGGTATAAATGAGGGGTTGGTGATAAAGGAGTCCATGGACACTGCCTTAAGCTCCTTATTGGAAAGGCTGGATAGACAGGTAATAAACCCTGACATCCGTATGACTTGCTGCTAGGAAAATAGAGATAGACACAAGCAGAAAATTCTACTCATAGCAGACTCTTATTCACTCACATTTCCCAGGACTGGCCTTTAAAGCAGGTATTAGGGCTAAAGCATGTGGAAGAATTGAAAACTAACTTCATCCAATGGCATATATACCGTCAGGTGTGTTTCAGTAGCAATGGCACACATACATATACACACATTTACAATACTCCATGCTTTAAAGGTAAAGGTAAAGGTACCCCTGCCCATATGGGCCAGTCTTGACAGACTCTAGGGTTGTGCGCCCATCTTACTCTATAGGCCGGGGGCCAGCGCTGTCCGCAGACACTTCTGGGTCACGTGGCCAGCGTGACAAGCTGCATCTGGCGAGCCAGCGCAGCACACGGAATGCCATTTACCTTCCCGCTAGTAAGCGGTCCCTATTTATCTACTTGCACCCGGGAGTGCTTTTGAACTGCTAGGTTGGCAGGCGCTGGGACCGAGCGACGGGAGCGCACCCCGCCGCAGGGATTCGAACCGCCGACCTTTCGATCGGCAAGTCCTAGGCGCTGAGGCTTTAACCCACAGTGCCACCCGCGTCCCTCTTACTCCATGCTTTAGCAGAGCACTAACCTCTCATTACTGGGGTATTTGATTAATTATAAAAGGATACTCTCAATTAATTTTGCATATGTGTGTGTGTGTGTGTGTGTGTATATATATATATATATATATATATGCAGGTTTTGGTGTCCTCGGGTGTCTTCCCGTGTAAAAGTTGGGGTGTCTAGGCGACGTTTCGACGAGGTCTCACTCGTCATCTTCAGGCTGGTGCTTTCGGCTTCTTGTTACTGGAACAGAGCAGGATCTCAGTGTTTGAGTTCCTATAAATACTGTTGAGGGGGTGTGGTGTATAGCCTCCAATGTTCTGGGCAGAGAGGAAGTTCCCAGGCTAGTGTGCCTTTTCTTCTTTTGTTCCTTAATTACTTGAGGGATATCTTGAGTGATTTCTTGAGTGATATTCTGAGTACCAATTAGGTGGGTCATTAGGTGTGGATTAGTTGCTCAAGCCTTCGTGTCTTGACCTCTTGAACTTTTGTGAAAAGTTTTTCTGAGAAGATGGCTGTACTGTACTTAGTTGTGCTCTGGCTTGGCTTCGGGTATAGGGGCGAGCTGTGGTTCTGTGCCCTGTGCCAGCCAGATCTGTGTAGGGATTGCAGGGGGGTGCAGCATCCGGAGGTGCCACCATGGTTTGGTTACTGGATGGTGTCTGTAATTTATCTGTGGAGAGGGTCTGGGTTTGGGTCTGGTGTGGTTGATTGGTGATGGCGTTCTGTGTGCCTCTGGATCTGGTGTCGGTTTTTGTGGGGAGGGCTAATTTCCAGATGTCTGGCAGGCGGGACGTGTCGTCACGTTTGTTCATGTTGTGAGGGTGTTTCTCTATCTCGATGGCTTCCATGATTATTCTCTTGTGGTGATGTTCCATGTTAAAGAGCAATTTGGAATCTGCAAAATTAATTTCGTGTCCTGTTTCTTTCATGTGTTGGAAAAGAGAGGAAGTTTTTTCTTCTTTTTTGACGGCATTCTTGTGTTCTGCGATACGTGCATTTATTCGTCTGTTTGTTTGTCCAATGTACGTGGCTGGGCAGGCTTTGCAGGGTATTTCATAGACCCCTTGGTTTTCCAACTGGATTTTATCTTTGGGGTTTCTGAGGATATTGGCTATTTTTTGGTTGGTGCAAAAGGCTGTTTTGATATTGTGTTTATGGAGGATTTTGCTAATTTTATCTGTAGTGCCCTTGATATAAGGAAGGAGGGCCATGCCATTGTTTTCTTCTGTGTCTTGGTTTTTGGGGGGTGTTTCTTTTTCACTCAAGATATCCCTCAAGTAATTAAGGAACAAAAGAAGAAAAGGCACACTAGCCTGGGAACTTCCTCTCTGCCCAGAACATTGGAGGCTATACACCACACCCCTCAACAGTATTTATAGGAACTCAAACACTGAGATCCTGCTCTGTTCCAGTAACAAGAAGCCGAAAGCACCAGCCTGAAGATGACGAGTGAGACCTCGTCGAAACGTCGCCTAGACACCCCAACTTTTACACGGGAAGACACCCGAGGACACCAAAACCTGCATTCCTGTACCCGTGAAAATCTACGAAAGCAAATATATATATATATATATATATAATAAAAAGGTGGTGAGTGGGTGGTGCTGTGGTCTAAACCACTGAGCCTCTTGGGCTTGCCGATCACAAGGTCGGCAGTTTGAATCCCCGCGACAAGGTGAGCTCCTGTTGGTTTGTCGCAGCTCCTGCCAACTTAGCAGTTCGAAAGCACACCAGTGCAAGTAGATAAATAGGTACCGCTGTGGCGGGAAGGTAAACAGCGTTTCTGTGTGCTCTGGTTTCCGTCACGGTGTCCCACTGCGCCAGAAGTGGTTTAGTCATGACCTGGAAAGCTGTCTGTGTACAAATGCCGGCTCCCTTGGACTGAAAGCGAGATGAGCGCTGCACCCTATAGTCTCCTTTGCCTGGACTTTACCATCCAGGGGTACTTGACCTTTACCTTTTACACACATGGTTACAAAAGTTGCAGGTGCTAGATACCTTCTTAGCAACAAAGCAAGTTATTAGACTGCAGTTACATAATCTCTGCATTGGCTGTTCTGTCTGTGGCTGATGGGAACTGGAGCCCCACATCTGGAAGGCAATTCCTGATCTAAAAGCAGAACTATTACTTTATTCAAATTAACATTTGTGAATCAGTTAATATCCATTATGATACGAACATAGGAAGTTGCTTTACCATGGGGTCATCTAGCTCAATATTGTCTATACTGCCTGACAGTAGCTGTCCAGGATTTCAGGCAAGACTATCTCCCAGCCCTATCTAGAGTTGTCAGGGATGCAAAGCAGATTCTCTGCCACTGAGCTATGGCTCTTTCCAATGTCTCTGATCTATGGCCTGCTGACTGGGACTGATGAGAGTTGGAGCCCAACAATATCTAGAGCAGTGTTTCCCAACCTTGGGCCTCCAGCTGTTTTT